CATAGCAAATCAAAACAAACATTGTGTAGTACTAGAATTTTTACTAGAATGGGATACGTTAATCGATTTGCTTGGGACCAATAGGCTAGTCAAGCAGTGAGCCAATTTAAAATCGTTAGTTTCGTATTGTTGTTGGTGTTACTGAGCTTATAGGTATATAAGGTGTATATAGACGTTTGATTCTCATGTGAAATAATGTTTAATTAGACACTATTACACATTTATTAAACGATTATTCAACTACGGGATAATCAGGGGTAAGTCACTTTGCCACCTTGTGTTAAACACATCAAAAACACTTTTAGACACACTGAAACACCCTTCAACCACCATGATAACCAATTTATAGATCTTTTCTGGCAACACTGCCTAAAGCCAACAATGTTTACATGCATTTGGTGCCCTTTTTGTTTTTGTTTATTTTTTTTTTAATGAGACATCTCCCTTTAGCTTCAGCAATCGATAGGATTCCACCGAGGACTCCACATAAAACTGATCGGGACATGGAAGTAACACTCATTCCCGCAATTGCGACATTGAAAAAACAGACAATTTAGCCTCAAGAACAAGCTAGAATATCTGCAACTGAGTATGAATGAAGGAGCGGATAATAATTGACTGATAGCTATGTCTATCTGATTTCTACTAGCTGAGGCGCACAAAAAATTTCATATTCTATGCGAAATTTAGAACCAGAGATTGCTTAGAAAGGGGCATGCTCGGCTGGGTTATCAGGGCTTGATTGCAACTGGAATTCGTTTGGGATGGATTCGAGAGGGCTTTACTGGTTTGAGCCAGGATCTCAAGCATGAGAATTTGATGGTTGAGGGAGTACTTTTTGAGATCGGGCCGGACATTTAATGAACACTCTTTTAGATAGATGATGCGGATGACGATCAGGGATGAGAATTTGAATGCTTTTAAGTTGTTTACGTTCACGTGTGCTTTTTACTGGGATTCCATGCTTACACTTTGCATTATTAAATTGTTAAATTTTTGGCGAGAGCAAAAACAAAGGATTCTGTTTGTAAGCAAATGTGGATGTAATGGTTACCAGTAATCATCGATTTTCGCTCAACGTTTTGAGAGCTAGATCGACATGCAGAAACACGCATAAACACTTTCCAACACCCAAAAACACACAAGGAACACAATCAACACAGACACAAGGTGGCAGAGTGACTTACCCCCTGTAATACCCCGTACAGACTATGGCTTATATCATGGAATATAGGCTGTCTTGCAATGAGCACTCATACATCTAGTTTTCACTGGAAAGTCTATATTACATGATATAAGCCATAGTCTGTACGGGGTATAAATCATTAAAAAAACGTCAACCGCTTGTGATGAGATGGTTTCACAGTCCAAATATCATCGCCTGCTGCAGAAATAGAAGGGATTTTTAGGAAAACTCGCACTTGCTCTACTTCGGCTTTGGTTTACTATGGTGCACATCGGCTCAAAATCCGGCAAAATTATCTCCAAAAGCTTTCCAGGGGTGACACATTAGGATGGGGGCCCTCAAAGCTTACTGGAATAGGATTGCCTGTAACGATCACAGAGCATTCGGAAACAGGACAAGCGAATTCTGTCAAATATCGTATAAATTTATAATTTAATACCCCGTTCACATTACAGCGTATATCACGTGATATACGGTGTCTTGCAATGAGCACTCATACATCTAGTTTTCACTGTAAATCCTATGTATGAGTGCTCATTGCAAGACAACCTATATTACGTGATATAGGCTGTAATGTGAACGGGGTATAACGAAAAATATTCGTACCTTCCAGTTTTTTGGATTGAGTGTTGCACTTCCGCACCGCTTCTGCGCTTTGAAAATGGCGTCGCACTGAAACACTAATGATTATCTCAACCCATTTTAAATACAAGAAGCCAAAAATGAATAAAAATTACCCGCTTTTCATTTTTTTTAAATACCCTTTCTAACAGTTCGGAATGAATTCGAGAAATGAGTACAAAATACTCTCAAGATAGGGTGTATACAAAACATGGTAGCAATAACATAACAATCTGGACAAAATACAGTAACATACATAATTGAAAGATGACATCTATTGGTAAGAGTAAAGGCGGTACATCAAATATGATTGTTAAATTCACTCTTACATAACTCGAAGCGTTTGGTACGGTATGTCCACACATCCTTCCACCCCTGTAGATTCACAAAATACATCGCTGTTTAAATATATTTATTTAAACTCGAATCATTTCACAGAATCATGTTTGCGGCAAATGCAACGCAGTAGGCCAGTCCGTTTTGATGTTTGTGTCATATCTCAGCATGTCTGAGCATCAATGTTGACAAGAAAAATGATTAGGCGTTGTCATTTTCTAGGATGCTTTCTAGCGTTTGTATTAGATTAGATTAGATTACATTAGAAAGGAATGTGATATTTCAGTCAACTGGGTTCTCATTTTTTCTCATATTTTAAGTATATTCTCATGGGTCACGATTTTTCCATAATATTTCCATTTCAGCATTTTTTGTTTTATTTTATATCGTCTTTCACATATTATAATGTTTTCTGCTTTGCTTTCTTCTTTCACCTGGCTCTCATCGTGTTTAGATTCTCCTGACTCAGCATCTTATATGCTTGTGTGTGTTTTACTATGCCACTTCTTCAATCACTTATTTTGTTCCTACCAACAGCAAATTCCTTTCATTTTTGTTTTACCATCATCATCTTCATCGTCATCAATGTTCTTTATCCCAATTAAAAAAGGCAATGTTTCTTTGTTTGTAGAGTGCTTTTGTTTCGGTTTGCTTCTTTTGCTTCTTTTAAACACATACAGCGCTAGCAACGTGATCTGGGTGTGTTTATTTTGAGTGCAGTTTCCCTGGCTTGGGCGACCGGCCGCATTTGCGAATGATCGTGCCTCGATGGGAGGGGGTCGCATCCTTAACGTTTGTCCAAACCCCCTGCCCTTCCAGGTGCGATCCTCGCACTCTCTCACTCGCTCTCTATATGCTTCTGTCTATCTCTGTCTGCCTCTGCTTGATGCAAGTATTGATCAGTGTTTGTATTATCGTAATAGTACGCCTCGGGGTCTCAAATTCCGTTCCGACTCTGTTGTCGTTTATCAATAAGTGTGGATTTGGATAATGAATAATAATAATAATCATAACTATATAGCAGTATAGCCGTTTTCCATTAATGTATCGATCTTTAAATGATTCAGCATTTGTAGTGTTGGTCAAACGGTATTGGTTTGTTAGCTTCCGGTAGTGTATGTTGGTTAAATTTTGCTAATATTCTTTTTGGTTTGTTTTACGATGTTTAAAGATTGTTGGTAGAGAATTTTGGATTACCAGCGTTGTTTTTTGTGTTAAGCGGAATAACATTTTAGCGTGGTGGATGTAAACCAAAACGTCAAGATAGATTAGTGTGTGTGTGTGTGTGTTTGAATTGCCTTAACCTAGAATAGCCGTCTTTTGCCGATGGGAGGATCCGGTAATGGAGTTTTATGAATAACGAAATGCAATTACTTATTATGGTTGTCTGCGATTACACGGACAACGATTCATTGGGCATTTCTATTTATAAAGTTTTTGAACAATAACATTTTCCTACAATTTCCACAAATGTCTACTATTCCGTTATTTAGTTGCGAAACTATACGAAGGGGTATTCATGTGACGATTAAAATTAATATCTTGTGTCTGAGTATGGCACCTAGAAAATGGGGTCAGGAAAAATTCTTAACGAGGCTGTTGATTGTAGGGAGAAGTCAATCCTTTTTGATCTTCAAATTCGTGCTTTCATACACGAATGATCAGACATTAAGGCTGTGTTCCATTTGGTGAATTTTCACTTTAATTTGACAGATGGAAAATTTTCAAATAAATCTGCTATTGTACCAGATTTATTTCTGACATACCAGGAATCAATTTTAACAAACACTTTCTCAAAAATCAGACGCTCAACAACAGAGGAATTTTCGAATATTATAATTTATTTTCGAAGTGTCAAATTCAAGTGAAAATTCACCAAATGGAACACAGCCTTAAAGTGACAAAGTAAGTCTACCATCTTTGAACGCCATCTTTAAAATTGAGAACAGTCAAGCTGAAAATCCTTAATCAATCCAATAAACTGTTTTGCGAATCGCTGTCCCTAAATCAATTTCCATTACCGTAATTCCTAAAGCTTCGTACCTAAATACTCTTCATATCCTCCGTGGATTTCAATTTTATGTCAGTTTCCATTCATGTTCAATTTCAAAATCAAAGCTTGATTTAAAAATACCTATTTTTAGAAATAAGAAAGGAACCAAATCCATTTTGTTAACGATTAAAACACCTAACAGGAAATGTGTAAGTGTGTGTACTTTTTTTTTTTAATATTTCCTAAAGTTTCGGTACTTTCGATCAAATACTATTCAAGAGGTTGAATGTTACTGATGAAGAGCTTAATGATGGAAGTCGAAATAGATTTAATCCAATTTTCAGTTTCATTTTCTTTTACAGACAGAGATTCATCGATCGATGAACCGGAAGATTTCGTTCCGAATCGAATCCACGAATCACTTGCGACCGGGTGTGGTTGTAGTTTATTTAGAAAGAAAAACAAAACAAACAGAATAGTACGTACCTTGAATGCTCGTGAAGCCCAACAAGGGGAACAAAATCCGGAAGGACGAATTTTTGTGTGGGCCATATTCCCGTCCTATTATATAACTGTCTTTTTTTTTTAAGATAAATGCTGGCTATCGACTCCTGTTCCCCTTCACTACTTAACACCTATTAGACAGACTTGCATTGAATGACAAACATATCACCGTGGGCTAGAAATCGAAAGTCACAGAAAGAAATGAACAAGACATGCAGAAACTGGAACACAGAAATTGACGATTTTCAAAAGCTCCACACGATCCTCGCGGAACCGGCAAAAGAACACGCTGCTGCTCTCCTAGGTCTTGGATGTGGGTTCGGCTGACGACTGCTGCTACAATTTTGACATTTACGCCCCGTGATGGTGATTCATTTAGTTGATGCATTCGGCTTTCTGTTTGTTGACTGCGGCCGCTGCTGCTGCTGCTGCCGCCTGGAAACCGGGTGGCATCGGGATGGTGAACTTGTCGAACTGGTTCGATCCACCGAATCCGTTGGTGAGGCTGTTCATGTAAGCGCTCTGTTCGTTGTTGAGCCAGCTGGAGGCGGCGTGCGAGAAGTTGACCTGCAATGGACAAAACAATTGGGATGCACACGATGGCAAATGAGCAACGTTGGATAGCCAAAGTTCCAGAGAAACGAGATTGACAGCGCGGAAAATAATGCGAATCAAGTGAATGCGATTTTGTATAAAATTCGGTGACCGACCCCTGATTTTAAGAAATTAATTTCCCGATATCATATTAACATTTTGAAAACTTATTAGCTTTCAAGATTGCATCAAATTGTCTAATGGCGGTATGCTCCATTGGGGATAATATGCGGTTTAATCCAGATTTTCAAAAAACTAGATTAAAGGGTGATACGGTCAAAATTTGGTCAATATCAACTTGACGTATTTCTTTCAATTTTGCATTTAAAAAACCTGAACACCCCTCATTTTAAAGGTGTGTGTGTGTAGAATGTTGCTCCTATTTTGATTTTGGAATTCACTCTTCAGTTGTCAAAATGCAGTCCAAGCAAGAAGAGCAGCGTATCAAAATTTTGCTCGCGCATCGCGAAAATCCGAGCTACTCGCACGCAAAGTTGGCAAAATCGCTAAAAGTTGCCAAATCAACCGTTACAAATGTAATTAAAGTGTTTGGGGAACGTTTGTCGACAGCCAGGAAGTCTGGATCGGGGGAAAATCGAAAACCGGAAGCCGCTGAGACGACAAAGAGAGTTGCCTGTAGTTTCAAGCGAAACCCTAACCTCTCTCTCCGAGATGCCGCAAATAAGCTGGGTGTATCGTCTACAACCGTGCATCGAGCCAAAAAACGAGCCGGACTATCGACTTACAAGAAGGTAGTGACTCCAAATCGCGATGATAAACAAAATACGACGGCCAAAGCGCGATCCCGGAGGCTGTACACGACGATGCTGACGAAGTTTGACTGCGTGGTAATGGACGACGAAACCTACGTCAAAGCCGACTACAAGCAGCTTCCGGGACAGGAGTTTTATACGGCAAAAGGAAGGGGAAAGGTAGCAGATGTTTTCAAGCACATGAAACTGTCAAAGTTCGCAAAGAAATATCTGGTTTGGCAAGCCATCTGTACCTGTGGCTTGAAAAGCAGCATTTTCATAGCTTCCGGGACTGTCAACCAAGAAATTTACGTGAAAGAGTGTTTGAATAAACGTCTGCTGCCTTTCCTGAAGAAACACGGTTGTTCCGTACTGTTTTGGCCGGATTTGGCATCTTGCCATTACGGTAAAAAGGCCATGGAGTGGTACGCCGCCAACAACGTGCAGGTGGTTCCCAAGGACAAGAACCCTCCCAACACGCCAGAGCTCCGCCCAATTGAGAAATACTGGGCTATTGTCAAGCGGAACCTAAAGAAGACCAAAAAACTGCTAAGGGCGAGCAGCAGTTCAAGGCAAACTGGCTTTCTGCGGCGAAGAAGGTGGACAAGGTGGCTGTACAAAATCTGATGGCAGGGGTCAAGCGTAAGGCCCGGCAATTCGGATTTGGAAAAGCGGAAGCCTAACTGAATATTTTTCCTGAATTTTATACTAATTGAACTTGAAAAAGAAATTTAATTTGATTTTTTAAAAAGCGGAAAAGCGGAAGCCTAACTGATTATTTTTCCTGAATTTTATACTAATTGAACTTGAAAAAGAAATTTAATTTGATTTTTTAAATAAACGATTTCACCGATTTACACGCGTTTTCCCTTGACCAAATTTTGACCGTATCACCCTTTAAATTTTAATATTCCATTTGTTGAGCCTCAAGAGAGGATAACAAAAAAACACGCAGCCATTCTCTCTCGCAGAGTAGAATAGAGTGTCAAGGTTTAAGTGTATTCAGTCATGCAGGCAGAAGAAGAGTACTAGACAAACAATTGAAATAGGCAAATTTCTCGAGAATCGAAAAACACCTACACAAACTAAAGAGCCACCAACATCTGAGGGAGAGTCGCGAAGAGACCAAGGTTTGTCAAAACATCTAGTGGCATAGTAAAATACCAAACAGAAAAGTACAGTTTCTCACTGCACACTAAACAATCTCAAACAATCACTACACGCTTAAAGCAAAACACGCTATTTTGCTACGCCTGTTTTGATTTGATTTCAATGGCACAAATTTTCATGACAAGAAGAACAAGTATGCAATGAATTCCGTGTGTGCTATCTGCTTCTCCCTCCCAGACCAACATTAGATCCGGATCTGACGCTTTGTGGCAAAGTGACAGCTAGATCTATTGTCAAACTGTCAACGCAATCAGATCTAATGTGGGGGGGCCTTAACAATGCCATTCGATAAAGGAAGTTTGCTCTTTCCGAAGCTTGTGTTAGATTTTTGAATGTGTTTTTATTCTAGAGAAATTTGCGGTTAATGCCATTTGTTACGTTTGTTGTTCCGCCTATTTCAATTGTTGGCCTAGATATTGTGCTCAGTGCTGCGTTATACCAACCGGTGGAAACTAACGAATTTAAATTGGCTCACTACTTGACTAGCCTATTAATCCCAAGCAAATCGATTAACGTACCCCATTCTAGTCGAAATTCTAGTACTACACTATGTTTATTTTTATTCACTATGAAAGTTTGACAGACAAAATGAGGGGTTCGTGGATTTTCCTATGTTTCGAGGGGTGCATCGATTAGCTTGGGACCGAAGAGAGTACCAGAACTGAGCCAAAAAGTTGAGCACGTTTCTTCGGGACCTTCTGGTCTTAGAGTTACCTCTATGGTTATACCATAGAGGTAACTCTAAGACTAGAAGGTCCCGAAGAAACGAGCTCAACTTTTTGGCTCAGCTCTGGTACAATCTTCGGTCCCAAGCTAATCGATTCACCCCTCGAAACTTAGGAGAATCCACTAACCCCTCATTTTATCTGTCAAACATTCATAGCGAATCAAAATAAACATAGTGTAGTACTGGAATTTATACTAGAATGGGGTACGTTAGTCGATTTGCTTGGGACCAATAGGCTAGTCAAGTAGTGAGACAATTTGAAATCGTTAGTTTCGTATTGATTGTTGCTATTATTCTTAAACACAATGTAGTTGTTAGATTTTCAATGAAGTTCTCAAAATGTTTCTGCAGCTAATGGAACTGCCCTTAAATTGTCGAAAATAATTCTTCAACATCTTTAAACTTCCCAAAAATTCTAGACTTTCCTGAGATTTAACGTGCTTTCCTGATGCTGCTAAAACTGCACAAAAGATCGCCGAACTTCGCTAAGTTCTCAAGACTTCCCTGAATTTCCCGATATTTTTTAAAAGTTCCCGCAATTTCCTGTAATATTGCTGTTTCGCCTGAAATGTCTTATTTTACCTGAACTTTTCTGACCTTTCTGGTACTTCTTTTAAGGTGTCCATATTTACTAAGCGGCTGTTCATTAACTGCGTAGACAATTGTCCATACACAATTTTTAAAATTTGTATGGGCCGTGGATAATTGCCAACCCCCCCCCCCCCTTCTTAACTGTCTACGTACTTAATGAACAGTCCCTAATGTTAATCGGAAATTTTCCTAATATTCATAAAATTCCAACGAAGACCCTACAATCATAGAGGTAACTCTAAGACCACTGGGTCCCGACGAAAATCATTATTATTTTTGGCTCACTCAGTACCAGAACAACGGTCCCAAGCAGTCCCAAGCTATTTATCTCACCCCTGCATGTTCTGCATGAATCCACACACCCCTGATGTTATCTGTCAAACTTTCATAGCGAATCAAAAAAAACATAGTGTAGTAATAGAATTTCGACTAGAATAGGGTACGTTAATCGTTTGCTTGGGACCAATAGGCTACTAAAGTGGTGAGCCAATTTAAAATCGTTAGTTTCGTATTGATTGTTGCTACAATGTTCCTGAATTTTTCGGAACATCCCCAAAATTTTCGGAATAGTTCATACCTAGATGAATAATTCAAAAGGTCCCATCTGCTTTGATCGAATTCTCTTCATCGACTTTCTTTTTTGATAACCACAGCTATGCAAACAGATTTCGTGGTTTTTTCGCCACATGGTTTTAAAAATGAGGTTCTTATCTAACGTCCAAAAACATCAAACACGACAACGAATGTTGTTGCAGCTTAGTTATTAACGAAATATAAAATTGATCAATGCATATGGGACTACACTGAGCGAATTTACCATGTCGTCATTCCATGATTAATCATTCAGAGCTATCCGATTTCTTTAACATTGAAAATAATATTAGATGCCCGATTGACTGATAATTGACATTAAATGGGATGATTCATCATACATATCATAAAAGGAAATAACATCAACCACTTACTGAAGAACCGTTCAAATTTTAAAAGGTATTAACAATAAATGAATTCAAAAACAGAAATGAACTAAAATCATCCAAGTGAACCCCATAACGAAAATCATACAACAACTGTCATGCGATTCATTTTCATATCGTTTCAGTCTCCCATTGCGTTTTGGCCTTACCATTACCATACTTGAATGTTAAGGGCCACCCACATTAGATCCGTTTGCGTTGCGTTGACGTAAATTTGACAGTTAGACAATAGATTTATCTGTCACTTTGCCGCAACGCGTCCGATCCGGATCTAATGTACGTGGGCCTTTACTGCGTTTTTTTTCTGAAGTTAACGGGACTGCTGTGAAGAGCTCTGTGTATCCTCGAAGTACTTAAAATCTCTAATATTCTTTGACATTCTCTAAACTATCTTGAAGATTTAGGAACATCTTAAAAATCCTCGCAATTTTCTTGAAAATAATGGAAGTGCCATGAAGTTCTCTGATCTTCGCTGAAGTTCCTGCAAGTTTTTTTTAAGTTCTCGAAACTGCCATGAAAATCACGAAACTAAATGTTCTCACATTACCCTGATGTTCACTTAATTTCCCAAACGCTTCCGAAATTTTCCTGAAGCCTTTGAAACTTTGCGGGATCTCTGATCCGTCCTGATATTCTCAGAGCTTCCCTGAAATTCTCGCAATTCTCCTGAAGTTCTTCATACGGTCCTGAAATGAATGGAACTGTCTTGAAAACCTATAAACTTCCTTGAAGTTCTCTGGACGTAAGTGAAATTTCAGGAAAATTACTGATGTTTTCTTAAGTTCCTGAAATTTCCGGAACTCCTTAAGGGATCTCAAAATTTCCCAGAAGTTAATGGTTCTGTCTTGAATTTATTGAAACTTACCCTAACTGATGAGGACTTTCATAAACATTGGAACCACTCTTAAGATCTCTGTAAATTTTGTAGGCTCTTCTTTAAAGATTCAACAATTTTCCTCAAGTTCCCTCTACTTCTCTGAAGTTTTCTTGACTTCCCTAAATTTTTTTGGATATCCTGGAAGTTCTTAAAACTTCTTCATGCAATTTTCCTGAAACTAGAGCATTTCCAGGCCAGCAAAGAAAAAAATGAATTTCAGACTCAACCTTCTCCGATTTTCATGAAACTTTGCATAATTGTTTGTTATGGTCCGTCATTCACATTAAGCTTAAAAATAAGGCATTTTGAATTTCGCAAAAAACTTCAAAATGGTTTTTGATAATTTTCAACAAATATTAAGTGGAAAACGTAAATTCCAATCTAAATGACCTTTAAGACACAAGTTCTTTTTAACTCAAAATAGAGTAACTTCTACTCAGTTTCGAAATTTCATGCTAAATGTCAAAAACTGAGTAATATTAAATAAGAAAAAGTAGTAACTTCTACTCTGTTTGCATTAAAAAAAATTTTGCTCACTTTTGAGTAAGCCTTTTTTTCCTTTGTTCGGGAACTAACACCTCTGCGACCAGTAATTTGATCTGTTGTGTCCTTAGTTTAGTACATGTCGTATTACTCCATCACTTTTGAGAAATGATAAAGTATTCGATTTGTTTTACAGTTGTCATTCTTGCATTTAACGCAAGGATCCGACTCTAATTGAAAGGTCCCGCTATTTATACCCTTCGGAGTGTTGAAACACCTTCCAAAGGCACGCCCCTTTGTCAGTCAAAATTGGATTCCTTAGCAACAAAATTAAACAATAACACCTATAATGACCATGCATCAGAACCCTAATCTTAATCACTTCAAACTAGGGAACAACGAATAGAAGATTAGGATTAACATAGATGAAGACAACTAACTCATTTTTTCCTTGTTTCAAGATCATCCTCGGTGAACAAAGCCGAGTCTTGTCACTATCAACAAGGCATGAAAAGTAACAAGGACTAGGATGTGTTCCTTTGATTACTGAAAAATCCTGTTCCCCAAGTTTGAAGTAGTCCGGACCAGGAATCGGTAGTATATCTTACATCCCGTAACATACCACGAAAAGGTGATCTACCCACTTTACAGGGCGAGCAAGCCCTTACAAACTTTACTCATTTTTATCAGGCTTTCAAACTCGTCCCTTGTGTTCTATTTACACAGAATTTTCGAATGTGGTGCACTTGTGGATCAAATCGACTAGTTTGATCCCCAGTAGACTGATGCAAAATTTGACTTTTTCGCTCCACAATACTTAAACGATTCCAAATCGGATCCTGACTAACCTCTCAAAATTTGAACCCCTTTGGTGAGAAACTGAGATGGCACAAACCAATTGAAGTTTGTATGGGAATTACTATGGTAAAACCAAGATTTTTGTTCATGTCTATCTAATAATTCACCATATCGGTCTGCTTCAAAAACTTTCAACTGTACTTGTAGGAAATTTTCCCAGCTACAACTTTGCCGAAGACCACTTTTTGATTAAATGGAAGAATCGAAAGTTATCAATGGTTCAATGCGCTGATGTCTTACGATCATGCTCAATCAACTGCTCAGCAGGCAACATTGGTGTTTATGGCGCGTAGAATAGAGGACAAAAATCATGACTACTATGTCACACTGCAAAATACAGTGTTGCCTACAGAGCAGCTGCTTGATCATGTCATAAGTTTACCAATCTCTTAAATAATTAATAACTATTTCCTGTCTCGTTTTACATAGAAACGATCTTCAGCAAAGTTGTAGCTGAAAAAATTTTCTTTAATAATGGCTATCGAACTGCAGCTCAATATGGAAAAAGACTAGAAGGCAATGAACAAAAAGTTGAGATTTCCCATAGTAATTTACGTGTAAACTTCAAATGGCTTTTTTTTTCCTTTGGTTTGTTTTTTTTCCGTCGATCTTGTTTTCCGTGCTGAGCACCAATGCTACCGACGTGCCAGGAAGGCAGCTCCCACACCTGGACCCTACCTATCGACCCATCAACTCATGAACCGGGGACCAACGGCTTTACTTCCCTTCCGAAGGAAGGCGTGATCAGAGATGTTATGCCTCAGAACATCCCGGCGGCGCCGACTGGGATTGAACCCAGGCCTGCTGGGGTGAGAGGTAATCATGCTTACCACTACACCACCGGCGTCGTTGACTTCAAATGGCTTGTGCGAAGTCTGTTTCTAACCAAATGAGTTGTAACTTTGGGAGGCTAATCAGGACCCGATTTGAAACCATTTAAGCACTGTGGAGCGAAAAAGTTAAATTTTGCATCAGTCTAGTGAGCATGCATAAGGTCGTATACGCGATGATCGATTCTCTTCATCGGTTTTCCCTTTGCATTGCTACAGCTAAGAGAAACAATTTTCTAGAATTTGTTCAACTCAGTGCTGTAACAGGTTGTATTGGCTATCAAAAGCACCAGCAAACGCACTGAGAAACGTTAATCCAAGCGAGTTATTAACAAAAGAGAAAATCGACGAAGAGAATCGATCATCGCGTTTACGCCCTTATGATGCTCACTGTCGAAATTACTCGAAAAATAAGCTGCAGCTTTAATACAACATCTCCTGAAACCTGCGATTAAAAGTTGCAGTTAGATGGTAGCCGAACAAAATCCCGAGCCGTGGCATAACTTGGAATTTCTAGTTGAATTCCAATTTGGCAAATGGTTTTCGACTAAACCTATCTATCGATACACCTCAAACCGTTGCACTGTTTCGTGTGTTCTAATTAACCGATGGCTGTAGGGCGGATTTCTTTCTCTCTCTAATGTGGTAGTCGTTGGAATACTATCAGATTAAAGAGAGATCCGTCCTACACTGCCTATAATCGCATATCAGTCCCTTATGGATAGTAAATCAAGCAAAGATGGGACTGATATGCGATTATGGGTACTACAGTCGAGTATAAGTATTGTCGCTAGACTTGAAAACCGAAATGACCAACTCGCGACAATCGATTTTACTCTCGTTATGTACGTTAAACATAACATCGCATCCAGTGCGCTGTATTCGTCAAATGATGCGCTATAGTTCGCACTAGATGCGACGTTATCTTTAACGTACACAACAAGAGTAAAATCGATTGTCGCGAGTTGGTCATTTCGGTTTTCAAGTCTAGCGACAATATAAGACACTGAAGAAGTCTGCACATTGTAGACGAAATACGCGTATCTGTCAAGAATAAGCAAATAAGGTAGTGGAATTAAATGGAAATTACTAATCCGTCTCTCTCTATAACGGTATTCTACTAAGACGCCCACATTCATCAGGAATAATAATCGGTTTTCAGAGCTGGTTACTCTTGGAGGACAGGCCTGCAAAGCGTGCAACACAACCGGGAATGTTTTCGCAGCTGAGTATCGAGCTGTTGCCTTGAACCTACCTGCATATACGAACATCACGGTATGCTGTAATACTGTGTCCGTCGTCAAGCTCTCCGAGTTCCAACATGTACTGAAAGACCTTTGAGACGACGACCAGACTCGCTGCAACTAGCTCCCCGAGACAGTCGATAAAACAACCCAACCATTATCTGTTCAAGGATCATCACAGTTGTCATTGGAGAAGCGGTAGTCTCTTACATGGGATCCAACGCATACTGATTCATCAGACTCTCTAGACGTTCATAAATAGCGTGAAACCGAATTTTTTGTCAGTGCGAACCTCAACCCGAGCTAGGTTTAAAAAAAAAGAGCAAACTGACGTTTGTCAGAAAACAAGCACACCAAATCTTGATACCCGATCCAGGTTGGAACTGAATAATAAACGAATTCGCTATAAGACAACGAGCCACTTGACGAATATTATTCAAATTTTCAAACATTTGTAATGCACCATGAACATTCGTAAACCGATTACAAATATTTTACTTTTCGGTTCGTATATGAAAAATACTAGTGCATTAATGACCCGATTTTGTCAGCCCCCTTTTTGAAAATCTGTTCTTATGTTCTACGTGGTATTATTGCACCTCATGCATCGATCTTGAAGATGTATGAGAAAGATTTGGAATTACGGCTATCTAAAATTGAAAGGGCTAGCAAAATCAGGTTGTTGCTGTATATAAATGATTTCATTTTCATTGATAAGCTTTCCGAAAAATCCACGCCCCAGAGCTTTTAAAGACGAGCGAAATCCACGCGAGACGCCAGCTGTAACAACCCTGAACTCGATACCGAAACACCTTCGTCACGATTGGTCACGGTGGGTGGGGGGAGGTCAAATTCCAACAGTCAAAGCCAATAAGGGAAAGAAAGACACTTCTTCTCGGATTGTTGATTAAACGGAAAGGACACATTGCGCAAGTAAAACCGATTTGAATGATATAATTTATTCCAGTTTGCTTCCTTCAAACAATATTTTGCGTGCCTGCATGACAAATCTCTAACCAAGGGCATAGGGAAACCCCAAACATGCTGAGAAACAAATAACATCGATTGCCAATTCAAGACGACAACAATCGGTAGCTCAACTTGCTGAGATAATCGTTCAAATTGCTGTGAGCTTGCTGCTGTTGGTCTGGCTGTGGCTGATAAAGTTGTTCTTGCAGCAGCCGTTGCTGATGATGTTGATGAAGGAAAATGTCTTCATAGTTTACCTGTGCTTGCGGATTTCCCGGCTGTTGCTGCTGCTGCGGTTGTTGTTGTTGTTGTTGTTGTTGATTCATCAGACTTGACGGCAAGTTAATGCCATGGTGTCCGAATCCTGATAACGGAAAGAAGGTGGAATTATGATTTCGAGGTGTTTGAAGCTTAAGATGGGCTATTCATACCTTGTCCTGGTTGTTGAAGGTTCGGTTGATTCAGTTGGTTCTGTTGCTGCTGTTGTTGTTGCGCTGATAGAAAGATATCCCCGGGCTGGTTGGCTGGTCCGTTCATAAACGAAAATTGACGAAACGAGACGATGGCCGGATCGAACGAGGTCCAATCGGTGAAGTTGTTGCCGTAACCTGTTGGGATGAAATTCTCAGCATTTTGGACTATTGAGGAAACAGAAATGACCTACTAGGTTTGCTGTGTCCGTTTTGCTGTTGGGGTGGAGTCAAATGAGTCTGATCATTCGGCTGGAATCCCAAAAATGGCAGCTGCTGTTGTTGTTGTTGCTGCTGCTGTTGTTGCTGCTGTAGCTGCTGACCCCAGTTACTCTGCTGTGGTGGCTGCTGCGGTGCGTTGTTCCCTAGGTTCATGAACGGAAGGATTTTACTGCCTGAAACTGCAAATACAAAAAAGTTAGTGGATCTTCTCATCTCATCCCAGTGGACGGAGTGCAAAGCAAACAAACCTTGCGCTCTCGGAACACCGAAGCCGAAAGCGTTCATGTGATTGAAGCCAGGCGGTGGCATCCGAGTCCGCTGCACGTTCTCCATCAGTTTGCTGTGGTTGGCGGCTGCTGCTGCTGCTGCCGCGGCCGCTGCCGCACTCTGTGTGATCTGCTGCTGGTTGATCTCGTCGTTGATCAGCTCGGCCAGTGCTTTCTGGGTCTCGAAGAAGGGATCAAAGCCTAAAATGTTGCCTGCAGTCAGCGCGTTGTGTTGGGGAGCAAGAGGATTTTGGCCGACGGCGAAATAGACGAAAAATAAATAACTCTCTCGCACAGAAACTGTGTTTTTTGGCAACTACTATGCTATCTATCACTCCAAATAGCTACTAAGGATGCAGTTTTCGAATAGTTATTTAGATTTAGACTAACGGTCGATCCAAAGATTTCAGACGTTGGTGATACATTACCTAAATCGTCGTCTACGACTGGTGTTTGCTGTGGATACTGCTGTTGTGGTTGCGGTTGCGGTTGTTGTGGTTGTTGTTGTTGCTGCTGCTGTTGTGAATTGTGAAGCCTATTGTTTGGTGGCTGCGACTGCGATTGCGGCTGCTGCTGCTGTGGATTAGCCCCGTTCAACAGGATATTGTGAGCATTCAGCTGACCATTAAGCATTCGCTGCTTCTGTAGCTGCTGGGAACCTAGCAAACCTGGACGGAATTTTGTTAGATGTTGTTTCCAATGGTCAAGTAAGAATGGGTCGTATGAATAGAAAAAATAGTAAACTTATACCCTTAAAACTTCCAACCAAAATGATGACACAGCTAAAAAACTGAACGAACGGCTTTTTCCCCCGGTGACTTCGAATTCCAGGCTTTTCCCCGCTTTTCCCGATTCACTTGTCACCAGGATTGCTTCCACTCACTTGCTATAAAAACATATTTTTCGGAATTATGCAATCATTAGATGATATAATGATATGTTGTACTTGTAAGTAACCTGTCAATTTTACTTTCAGAGCGACACAATAAGCGATCTTATGATTCATGAGCGTTCACTCAGAGTGAGCACTCGCGAGTCGTAAAATGGCTGATTGTGACGCACTGAAAGCAATATTGGCAGATTGTATGTGTCAAACACATACTTCACGTCCTCATCTTGTAACTTACAAGTACTAATTATCACTATACCATCTCATGATTTCATAATTCTGAAAAATATTTTTTTATAGCAAGTGAGTGGAAGTAACCCTGCTTGTCACCCTGCGGAGCTTATTTCATAAACTAGACACCACTCCAAAATTTTCGAAATTTCTCAAAGGTTCCGGCATTTCCCTAAAGTTCTCGAAACTTGTCATAAGTTTTGGGACTCCTCAGAAGTTGTTGGCCCTTTTCAGAAGTTCGGAACTCGTCATACGTTCTTGGAACTCCTCAGACGTTATTGCATTTTCTCAGACGTTCTTGGAACTTCTCAACATATCTTAGAACTTCTCATTAGAGTTTTTGTAAATTATCAGAAGTTCCCGAAATTTTTCCGAAGTTCTCAGAGCTTATCTCAAGTTTTTAGAACTTCGCTGAATTTCTTGGGAGTGTTTTGAACTATGCTGAAATATTTGAAAATTCGCTGAAGTTTTCAGAGCTTACCTTAAGTTGCTCAAACTTCGTTGAAGTTCTTGGACCTTGGTTAAATTTCTTGGCGCTTTGTTAAAATACTTCGGCGAAATTCCAAAAATTTGAGCAAAGTTTCAGAAATTTTTTAGCTTAGTTTCTCGAAATCGCATCATTGGTTTTGGTTGAAACGAGTTCAAAATTAGCAAGTTAACAATCAGAACCGGAAACCAACAACAGATACTTCTTCGATCACTTCTGCAAATTGATCAGCTTCATCCCGGGACGCAACAGCTTGAGAAACTCGAAAGCCTCTGATCCCCCGATCACAGTCAGTCGTGCTTCTCCTGCCAGCGTTCAGCAGCCGTCCCGGCCCTGTGTTTGGGTCTGGTGAAGGCAATTATGTACCTGATACGTCCGTCGTTTCTAGCCAGCCACTTCATGCTCGCCTCTCTCCATATGAAGCAACTGTTCCGGCACCGGGATGCACTCCTGCTAGCTTCATGGAAGCCCCTAATCCTCTCAGCATAGTCGAGTCCCTCCCGTCAGCGCTCAGCAGCCATCCCGGACCTGTGTATGAGAATGGAGAAGGGGTCTTCCAAACCGTCATCGCAGGCAAGTACACACATGTGTGGAATACTTTTCTCCTCCAGTAATGCCCATCGATTCTAGTCTCCACACTTCAAACGGGTTTCACTCGGATATTGGCGCTATCGAAGCTGCTGAATCATCTCTCACAGTAACTGCTGTACCTGACATCATCTCTTCAAGCATGCCGCCGAGTCCCGTTGCGCCCTCCGCAGCAAACCGTACCACCGATCGCATGTTTTCTGTGTATTATCAGAATGTCAGAGGTTTGCGCACAAAAATTGCTCAGCTCCGTCTGCTTTTGTCCAGCTGTGACTATGAAGTACTTGTCTTTACGGAAACATGGCTCCGTGCTGATATTGACAGCAGTGAAATTTCATCGGATTACGTTTTCTTCCGCTATGATCGCAATGAGTTAACCAGTCCTCATTTGCGGGGCGGTGGTGTACTGATTGCAGCCAAAAACTACCTGGAGTGTGAATCTATTTCGATAGCTAACTGTGAAAATCTTGAGCAAAATGCAGTTTGCATAAAATTGCAATCTCATTCGCTCTATGTAGTGGCTATCTATCTTCCACCTAACTCGCGTGCCGAGCAATATAATGCTCACGCAAGGGCCGTTCAACAAGTGGCAGATCGTTTATCGGAGACTGACATAATCCTATCAATCGGTGATTTTAATCTTCCTAATCTGCGATGGCATCTTGACGAGGACATTAATGGCTTTATTCCTTCAAACGCCTTGACTGATACTGAGAGAAACTTTACAGTAGCTATGTTTTCCAATGGCTTGAGGCAGATTAATAACATTGTCAACACGAACGAAAGATTCCTTGACCTGACGTTCACCCATCTCCCGGAGTATCTTAACCTGATTGCAGTACTTGCGTCGCTGTTAACTGTCGATAATCATCACAAAGCAATGATTTTACTACTTGACGAGAGTGTTGTACTTGACGATCAGGACAAATGTTTCAAATTTGACTATTTGGCATGCGACTTTGACTTACAACACACACAATTACAATTATCAAGTTATGCTTCAGTTATCAGCTTTCTACGAATCTCTCTCTGAAGTTATAAATCATCATGTACCTCTAAAGAGACAAGCACCGATTTCTGCTTTCAACAAACCGTGGTGGACTGCAGAGTTACATACGCTTCGTAAGTTGCGCAAATGAGTCCTATAAAGCTAGACTCGTTGAGCTTGAGTTGGAGTACAAAGCCATCCTTTCTACAACACATGAAAACTATTTGTGTAGGATACAGACATCCGTCAAGGAAATTCCTTCGCGCTTTTGCGATTTCATTAAGAAACGCAAAGCTGACAACGGCATCCCTGGATCGGTCAACTTCGAAGGAACCACTTCTCGCTCATGCTCGGAGACAGCTAATCTCTCTGCTGATTTCTTTGAGAACGTATTTAGTAAAGCATCACCCGTTCAACAGCAGGCTTCGAGCCACAAAATGGTGAGTTGACAACCTGGAAGGAGCGGAATACCTAGCCCTGGTCCTCACAAGTTCCAAGTTCCAGACTACCAGCTAAAACATGGACACAGCTGGGTGGCGTAGCCTAGGCAATGTTGCCAATCCGGCAATAGCAAAGTGAAGAGGTGCGACGCGAACACTGGCGCGGTAACCATAGTACGGTGATAGAGGAAATGCTTCACCAAACCCGAGCGTCTGTTCACCATGGAGGTGCGGCTCAAAACGGCGTCTGTTCTCCATGTTAGGAGCGGCTGATCACCGTCCTAGTGCCAGCGTGGGACTCTAAACAGAGCTGTGCACGATGGTCCCCCGCCGAGACAGGGGGTTGGGGCAGGCCCAATAAGCCGCCCTGGAAAAAAACATAAAGTTGCAAATACTGAAGAAAGAAATACGAATCGGAACAATCGGCACAGACCTACGCAACGAAATAAGGACTACGATTGGAAACTCGGAACATGGAACTGCAAATCGCTCGGCTTCCCGGGCTGCGATAGGTTAATCTATGACGAACTTCAACCACGCAACTTCGAAGTCGTAGCACTGCAGGAACGTTGCTGGACGGGACAAAAGGTATGGAAAAGCGGACATCGAGCGGCTACTTTCTACCACAGCTGTGGCACCCCCAACGAGCTGGGAACCGGCTTTGTAGTGCTGGGTAAGATGCGCCAACGCGTGATTGGTTGGCAGCCGATCAACGCGAGGATGTGCAAGTTGAGGATTAAGGGCCGTTTCTTCAACTACAGCATCATCAACGTGCACTGCCCACACGAAGGGAGACCCGACGACGAGAAAGAAGCGTTTTATGCGCAGCTGGAGCAGGTGTACGACGGCTGTTCGCAACGGGACGTCAAAATCGTCATCGGCGACATGAACGCTCAGGTAGGACGGGAGACAATGTATAGACCGGCAATCGGGCCAAACAGCCTGCATGCCGTATCGAACGACAACGGCCAACGATGCGTGAACTTTGCAGCCTCTCGAGGAATGGTAGTTCGAAGTACCTTTTTCCACCGCAAGGATATCCTCAAAGTCACCTGGAGATCACCTGACCAACACACAGAAAACCAAATCGATCACGTTCTAATCGACGGGAAATTCTTCTCCGACATTATCAACGTCCACACGTACCGCAGTGCGAACATAGATTCGGAGCACTACCTAGTTGCAGTATGCATGCGCTCAAAACTCTCGACGGTTCATAACACCCGTCGAAGTCGAACGCCGCGACCCAACATTGAGCAACTAGGGGACGCCGGAGTTGCCCAGGACTACGCGCAGCTTCTCTTGAAGATGGCTGGAGGGACATCCGTTCAGCCATAGGTAGTACTGCTGCAGCGGCACTAGGTACTGCAATCCCGGACCGAAGAAATGACTGGTTTGACGGCGAATGCAAACTGTTAGTAGAGGAAAAGAATGCAGCACGGGCGAGAATGCTGCAACACCGCCCAAGATTTAATGTGGAGCGATACAGACAAGCGCGGAACAGACAAAACTCGGTTTTCCGAAGGAAGAAGCGTCAGCAGGAAGACCGAGATCGCGAGGCGATGGAAAATCTGTACAGCGTAAACGACACACGGAAGTTCTACGAGAAACTAAATAGTTCGCGCAAAGGCTACGTGCCGCAAGCCGATATGTGCAAGGACTTGGACGGTAACCTTCTCACGAACGAGTGTGAGGTGATTGAGAGGTGGAGGCAGTACTATGACGAGCACCTCAACGGTGAAGCAGCAGAAAACGAAGGTGGCACGGCAACAGACCTTGGAGCACGCGGAGAAGACGACAGGCTACCGGCCCCTGATCTTCAAAAAGTTGAGGAGGAGATCGGTCGGCTGAAGAACAACTGGTGTAGATCAACTGCCAAGTGAGCTATTGAAATACGGTGGTGAAGCACTGGCTAGAGCGCTGCACTGGGTAATTGCCAAGATTTGGGAGGAGGAGATTTTACCGGAGGAGTGGATGGAAGGTGTCGTATGCCCAATCTACAAAAAGGGCGACAAGTTGGATTGCTGCAACTACCACGCAATCAC